GCCTCCTCCACCTGCTCCAGTGCCCCACCCCACCATTTCCAGCCCCCTGGAGCCCCCCAGAGGACACCCAGCTCCACTCCCAGCCCCCTCACTGACCTGCCTGGAGCCTCCCAGCTCCCTCCCCTTCTCAAGTACCCCCTACCACCATTCTCCAACCCCCCTCCTGGCCCCCAGCCCCCTCCCTAGCTCCCCACAGGACCCTGAGCCCCCTCCAAGGCCTGCCCAGAGCCCCCCAGCCCACGGCTGACTTCATGTTCTCAACGGAGCGGCCGCGCACGGCGCAGAGGGGCAGGGCGAAGGCGGCCAGCAGCAGGATCCAGCCATTGTAGAAGGCCATCTTGACCACGAAGCGGAAGGAGCCGCTCAGCTCATAGAGCAGTGGCACCAGCGCCAGCACCAGCACCAGCGCCCACACGCCCGCCGACACCTCCATGCTCCTGCCGCCGCCTGCCTGCAGGGGACAGGGAGGAGGTATTAGGGTTCATGTGGTGCACAAGGCAAGAACAGGGGCTGCATTAACCACCACCCCCCACCACCACCACCACATAGGCACAGAACCCAGGTATCTGGGACACACATGCACAGAACCCAGGCGTCCATGATGTGTGCACACACACACAGAACCCAAGTTTTCGGGACACACGGACAGACACACAGAACCCAGGTGTTCAGGACACATGGGGGTGCACGTGCACACACGCGCACACATACACAGAATCCAGGCACCCAACACACACGCAACCCAGGTGTTGGGAACACACACACAGATCCCAGGCATCCAAAACATACAGAAGAACCCAGGTGGTCCAGAATACATGGACGTATGCACGCACGCACGTACGCACACACACAGAATGGCAGGGGGGAAGGGGGGGATCTGAAACACACACATGCACGCAGAATCCAGTTGTCTGTGGGATGGGGACACAGGCACAAAACCCAGGCATCCAGATCACACATATGCACACACAACTCAGGTGTCCAGGTCACACACATGCACAAACCTATGTAGTAGAGAACCCTACTCAGGCACTCTGTGCATGTGTAACCATCACAACACTGCCATCCGTGTCCGCTGTAACATTTTGTGTGCGAGTATGTTTGTGTGTGCGTGCACGCATATACGTGTGACAAGCAGATCAACACTATCAGTGTTTACTCACTTCATGTGTTGGACAAGTACCTCTATACTGCTGGTGTCTGCTCACACCCTGCATGTGTGTGTGTGTCACATGCGCACATGCCAACCAAACCTATGCTATCCGCATGTGCTCACACTCTGTGTGTGTGCATGCACGCATGTGTGAGTATAACAAGCAGAATTTGGCAATATTTGTTTGCTGTGGGTGTAACAGGTAGATCAATGCTATTAGTGTTTGCACTGCCCAAACCTTGTGTGCATGTGAGCATGCAACACACCCAGTGTACCGAGCTCTTTGCTCAAACATGCCGTGTGTACATTGTGTGCGTGTGTGTACGTGTCTGATAAACAGAACTACACCATCAGTGTTTGCTCATAGCATGTGTGACACAAACCTGCACTAGCAATGTCTGCTCAAAAACTGCGTGTGCAAGCATGTAACAAGATCTATGCTCAATACTTGCTCAAACACTTGTGTGCATATGTCCAAAATTAATACTAAGCTACACTCACTGCTCTGTGTGTGTGTGTGTGTGTGTGTGTGTGTGCACGTGTGCATGTGCGCACGTCCAATAAGAAGACCTATGCTATCAATGCTTGGTCAAAATTGTGCATGTGTGCAACATACCCACACAGTGTACTGAGCTACGCTTTGCTCAAACACGCTGCGTGAGTGAGTGTGAAACAAGCATTTCTCTGCTGTCAAACACCGTATGTGCATTTGCATATAACAAGCAGTTCTATGCTCATTGCTTGCTCAAATGCATGTTTATGTGCAACACACACTATTTACTCAGTGTGTGTGTGCATGCATATAAGCAGAACTATGCTATGAGTGCTTGCTCAAACACTCATGTATACGCACAACACACCTGCAGCGTACTGTTACACTATCATTTGCGCGCGCGCGCGCACACACACACACAGTGACCATGTGTGTCCGCAGCACACACACACATGCACACACTGTACCAAGCTACACTATTTGCTCAAACCCACTGCATGTGTGCATGTGCACATGAACAAGTGAGTGCACGCAACTTTGTACACTAGTGCAACTCTGGGAGAGCAAGTGCATATCACTCACTGCATGCAAAACAATGTTCTCAGTACACGTGGTTCATCACACATACGCACACATGCACAGCAAACCGAACCCTGCCCAAGCCCTGTGCATGTGTCAACACGCCCAGAGACACACACCTGCCACACTCCGACCCGGTGCCACACACACACCTCCCTGCCGCAGGGCTGGAAGTTCCCGACACGCATGTAGGCGTGCACACGCCTGATCTTCCACCCCACCCTGCACCCGAGGGGGAGCCTTGCCCCAGACTCAACCCCAGCCTGGGCCTGACAACTGCAGGGGGATAGGGGCCATGGCAGCACACATGGTAGACAGGTGAGCATATGCACATGGCGTGGATTTACACACACAGCTATGGCATGGGCTGTGGCACGCACAATAGCAAGCCACAGGGAGCATGGGAAACCTGTATGCATGCACAAACACACACAAGAACACAAATACACGCACATGCCGCATACACAAATGAATACACTCGTGCACACACAAATACGCACGTGAATACACACTCACACACGTGTGAATGGATGGACACATGCACAGAATCCAGGCATCCAACACACACACAGAACCCAGGCACCCAGGACACACACGAGTACACATATATGCATGCACATGCCAGCATATACACATGCACACACAAATACACAAACAAGTACACATTCACATCTGCATGTGAATAGACACACACACACACAACCCAGGCACCTGGGATACACATGTAGAGGCCTGTGCCCCACACAACCATCACACACACTCACACAAGACTTGTACCTCCCAGCACAGTGCTCCACATCCCTCACAACATGCCATTACCATCACACACATACACAGACACAAACACACACGAGGTGAGCATTGTACCCCCAACAACACCCAAGCATCACACACAGAGTACCCTAGGCCCCACACAACTATCTCACACGCACACAAATTTTACCAAGCACAGTTCCCCACAACTCCCCACTACCATCACACCCCCCCCCCGAGAACTGTACCCCACAACAACACCTTACAAGTATCTGTCTGTCTCACATATACATGCACACACATGCGCGCATGCACACACACACACTGGCCTGTACTGCACACAATGGCTCGCAACAACACATACACACACACACAAACTGTACCCCCAGCACTGCACCCCACACACCCCTACCATCACTCCTCTACATGACACCCCACTACCATCACACACAAAAGTGAGAAGTGAACCCTGTGCAACACCCCACAAGCATCTCTCTCTCTCACACACAAATTATTGCTCCCCAGCACAGTATTCCACACTACCCATAACACTCTGCTACCGTCACACACACAGGTGAAAATTGTACCCCTCCACAACACCCTACATCACACACACACACACACACTGCCCTGTGCCCCACACAGCCGCTCACAACACAAGAACTGTTTCTCCCCAGCGCACACAGAACCCAGGTGTGGGGATACATACACACAGGTGAAAAGTATACCTGCATAACACCCTGCAGGCTTCACACACGCACCAACTGTATCCCCAGCACAGTAACACACATTTCTCCCAACACCCTCCTACCATCACACACACATGCAAACCTGCATCTCATGCATATGTGCATGCACACAGAAGTTGTGCCCCTCCAGGCACACATACCCAGTGCCCCTCACAAGCATCTGCAACTATCACAGCTGCACGCATGCACAACCCCACATCCCTCACAACCCATTACACACAGACACACACACGAAGGAGTAGCCATCACAAACATGTGCAAGTCAGACCCCTCTGGATGCGCACACACACACATGAACACAACACCCCATGACCCTCACAGGCACTCATGGTTACCACAGAACAATTGTAACCCCGCCATGTGCATGCGCACACACACACACACACACACAACCCAGGCATCTGGGACATGGACACACACCTGTCAGGTACCCTGGACACAATTGTACACACACAACCATGGCACCCTGAACACACACACACACAGAACCCAGATGTCCAGAACAGGTGCGCACGCGCACACACACACACACACAAACATACAGGCATCTGCAACACACACACACACACACAACCCATGTGTCCAAAGCACACGTGTGCACTCATACACGCGCACACAGAACCGAGGCACCTGGGATACGTGCTCACACATGCACACACCACAGGGGTCTAGGTCGCCCAGACCCCACTGGACCCCACGTCCACCCGCACCCCTGAGCCCTGGAGCTGGGGGG